GAGGGGGTGTGAAGTGGTAAGAGAATGAAAGTATGGGCGATCGATGATATTTGTAGAGGATCGGTGTCGTTCGGTGGGTCGTCCCTACTGTAAACAACTAGAAGAATCACTAAACAATGAGGTGCGGGATACAAGGAGGTTTATCACCTGATCTTGAGCAACATACAAGCACACCACTTGGAAAAAAAATGATACAATACTCCTAAATAAGAAAATGACCCTTAGAAATAAACCTAATTAAAAGTAGATAATTAGGAAAGACATCAAAAATGAAGAAAATATATACAAAAATTTGCAAGTCAACACCCATCTGCTCTGAACGCATGATTGCGGGGCTTCTAATGATCCTTGCGGAATCATGGGATTCCCTCTCCGCGTCATTGAATCGCAGGATTCTCGTGATTAGAATCATTGGATCTCCGATCCTTGAATTTGCAAGATGCCCCACATCATTCTTCCTTGCTAAAAAAAAGGATTCTTTTTCTTCTTTGGATGTCTCTGGAATTGATCTATCACCATACTAATTCATTGTGTTGTTGTGGCTGGGAAAGCCCCACTACAAAGTCTATTCTCACGTTCACCCAAGACAACTCTAAAACATATACGTCCTTCTAAAGTATTTCTCAATAGAATAATTAATCATCTTTTTTTCTTGGCACAGTCATAGTTGGAACTGCATCTGGGTTAGTACTCTCATGAACCAAATCTCTATCTCTTAAGTGTGTAGCCTGTTCTTTCCATTTATCATACTCAGCTGGTTGTATCTCATAGGCGAGTTGGTTTGACAAAAAATATCCTGAAATGAGATATGGTATGTTGTATTCTGTCGATGATAGCCATCCATAAGGTAAACTTTCAGTCAAGATATTCAACAACTCCTTCAATAGGGATTGCCCCTTTTATGGTATCAACTCATTAAATTTACCACACTCTAGGATAACTAATGTTAATCCCACTGGATTATCTCTCATGGTCTTAGTTTGAATCACTGACATCTTTATCTCATCTGCTTGCAAGTGGTACTCCTTTTCTCCTCTTCTATGTTTTCACCCTCTGCCCCCTCCACTACATTTTGCTTCGTGAAAGATATCATTCTAGCAATCTGATGTAACCTACCTAAAAGCGTAGCATTTCAATCACTTTCTAGCTAGGACAGATTTGAGTCTTCACTTTTTTCCCACTATGAACTGGGGTCGGCTTGGACGGTCCATAGGATGCTCTCTTGCTGCCTGATCTGATGACTGAATCTAATTTTAAGGATGGTGTGAACCTAATACTGTTGCGTACTGCGCTATGATACCAGATGATGCCGTTTTAGGGATCCTAAAAGATGTTTGGAAAACGGATTTGACGGGGAGGGATGGAGAAATAGTAAGAAAATGAAAATATGGGCAATCAATGATATTTGAAGGCGGATAAGCGTTATTTGGCAGGCTTAAAACAATGAGAATGATCATGAAACAATGAGTTACCAGCAACGAAGAGGTTCACCACCTGTTCCTGAGCGGGATACAAATGCATTACTTATAAAAGGAAGATGATACAACACTCCTAAATCAAGAAATCAGAAATTGTAATCGCCATGATGCTCAAAATAAAACAAATGTCCCAAAAAAAATAGGAAATAATAATATACCTATAGTTCCCTTCTATAAAAATATAGCCAGAAATAACTAAAGAAGAAAGAAATGAAAAGTAAGAAAAGCTATGCTAGAATTTGGACGTGGTGCCGTTTTGCTATCCCAAGATCGTGGGGCTTCTTATGATTCTGTGGAATTGCAGGATTCCTTCTTTTCTTCACTGAATCTCAGGATTCTCAATATTGGACTCACGGGTCCTTTGCCATGAAATTGCAAGACGATCCAGCATCACTTCAGGTTCTGCCTGCAAATTAATTCATTTTTTATGAGCTTTTATGCACTTTGAGTGATTAACCGTCACATTGGAACTGATTGATTAACAAATGTTAGAAATTTTAGCTTAAATTGCCATCTTGAAATGTTTATTTCCTATAGCAAAGGAAAACAAT